GACGCTGTGTCCACTGAGCCAAACCGGTCAGGGATAGCACACTTGTGGTGAAAAATGATACTTCCAGCCCTAGCCGGTTTGGCTCAGTGGACAGAGCCTCGTTCTGCAGACTGAATGGTCCTCCACCGGATTCCAGGTCAGGGCACATGCCTGGGTTACAGGCTCGATCCCCAGTGGGGACGTGCAGGAGGCAGCTGATCAATGATTCTCTCTCATCAATGATGCTTCTCTCTCTCCCTCTCCCTTCCTCTCTGAAATCAATAAAATAAAAAAAATAAAAAACTTTAAAAAGCCTTCGGTAAACTGTGGCACCTTATCCCACCCCTCTCCTCTGAATTTAAATTAGGGCAACTTTAAAGATCACCTCTTAACCTAACTAGATTTAAAAAATGAAGAAACCCGGCTGCTCGCCACCTCGAGGAATGACCTGCGTGGCCCGGCCCACGTGGCGGGCCACCCAAGGCACGTGCCCGGCTCCCGCCTGTCCCAGGAGTTTGGCCTCATCTGTCCACCCCAAGGCCCAGCGCCCCCTCCCCACGCTCAGTCCCGAAGGCTCTCCCGCTGCATCAACCACCCGCAACACCCGCCGCCGCTCTTCACCTCGCCACCAAGAACCCCAAACCGCAAGACCTCCGCGCTAATCACGCGAGACTTCCCGCAGCAGGACGCCCTCGAATGCGCCCGGACGGCGCGCACACCCTCCTCCTAGCGGCACCCTGCGCGCGTTCCTCAGAAAACGGGCCTGGACGTTCGTGCTTACGGAGGAAGGCCCCTTATCTTTGTGGGTTACACGGTGGGTGTGTGGCGGGTGAGGGGGGCAGACGAGCCCAGAGGACCCGAACAACGCCAAGGGGCCGCTGGTAATGAAGACTCCGGCGCGGACGTTTCGCTACCGGCTAGAGTTCGAGCCTGAGGCGAAAGCTCATCTTTGGAAAGTCGACGACTGTGCCTTCGTCACTCCATTTCAACCAACCGGAGTTTGCGCTCATTCCATCAGCCAATCGCGGACGTCGTGGGGCGGGGCCTGGAGTGGGCTGGCCCAGGTCG